TTTCGATCCTAGATCTGGTTTAAAAGAAAGTTTAAATTAATCATTACTTAGATTCGAAAATAAAAATTGACTACTTCATAATTTTTTAAAGATTTCATTATGGTATTTCTATTTACTACTTTAGAAATTTGCTTAAACATAAAATGCGTATTTAAAATTTAATCGATGTCGAAAACTTCCTTAATCAATAAAACAGAACATTTCGCACGATATTGTATGATTTATTTCCCATTGTTGGATTTTTTATATAAAAAACACGATCTGTTTGACTCGGAGTTGTGAGAAGTTTATTGTGCGTATGAGAATTTAAACTGGTAATAAGTGATGCAATGTCATGTCAATAATAATAAAAAAAAACATTGTGACATTAACACAAGGTTGTCAACCACTGTTTCTAGTAATACCACTTCCTAAAGAGTACAAAAACTCTTTCTTTTCTCCTAATCAGCATACCGGATACTAAATGCTTTATGTAATATGTATATTTTATTATAAAACTATGTATTGTAGGTATAAAGCTTTCATCCGCGACTTCGTCCACGTAAATTTAAAATAAACAAATACACGTAGACTATTTGATGTTCCAGACCAACTGGTATGTACATCTGTATAATAAATATATAATAAATAATAAGATGATAATTTTGATTTTTTTTTCTTTATAAGATTAATATTGTATTTCAAATTTATTAATTACACAAAATAGTAAAATTCTTTCTAGTACTGACCTTATAGTGCAGAAATATAGCACTTATAAATATATGAAATGGAAGGGCTATAAATCTATTTTGCCATGTCTAAAACTCTAAAATCACACAAGCGTTGATGTCTTTTGCTTTAGTTTTCCTTGCTCGCCGTTTATCAGACATCAACGAATGAAAACGAAAACAGTTTGACAATTGACAATACTCGTAATACTATATATTTTTGTCATTTATAAACTACGAACTTTCGCCCGCGACTCCATCCGCGTGCTATTTAAAAAAACAAAAACTAGTAGTCTATGTGTTCTTCCAGATTATCCTCTACATCTATGCCAAATTTCATCGAGATCCGTTTGCTGTTTAGGCCACAAACTCTAACAAACATCCATTCATCCATTCACCCATATAAACTTTCGCATTTATAATATTAGTAAGATGGCTATGAAAGGTTAAAAAAACGTAAGAGAAATGAGAAACTGAGAGTGAAAAGTCCTTTTAAAGTATCATAGAAAGTGAAAAATCAATGAAAAATTTATGAGTAAGATAATCCAGTTTGTCAAACAATAAGCAAATGGTATGAATATATTCAAGCGTCGTGCTGAGGTCGATTACCATTCCGTGCCCGTGACCTTACCCGAGTTCGCTGCGTCACCACTTTCCTTGCGACGCGACGTGATTGCTGACTTACATGGATCGTGGTGACACTTTCTTTCGATTGGATAGAGTAACTTTTAAAACACATTTAATTACTTACTACAGCGATTACGTAAAGTATAATATATTTTATATTCTTAATAGCAGGATTTAGGTCCTGCACACCTCAAGAGCTTATATGAGAAAGCTTTGCTTTTAAATTTTCTTTAAAGCTTTTAACGTCCTATGTGCGTTCAATGTCGCTCAAATTAATTTTTAAATTTCAGCTGGAGTTTTTTCTATCTTATTTTTTCAGTTTTAAATAGATGTATTTTAATTAATAATTTTTGTTTATAATGAATCTCACATGTTCCCTAGTTCATAGTGAAATCTTTTTACAACTAACTAACAAAATATAAATGGAAAGCCAACGCCTTTCAAATAATTCCTAATATGATTGACGTTTAAATAGGAATGTTAACAAAAGATAATCACTCTTACTTGTAATCCCAAAGATTTCTTTAGTACCACTAAAATACGTTTAGTACAGCGTTCTTAAGGTTGTTGACCCGTATGATGGATAATGTAAAGGCGGGCTTTCATTGCCAAAACTCTCATATTAAAAATCATCTTTCTCAGTTTCCTTTAAAATGAATCTACAATGTTTTGTACTAGAGTGGAGACAATCTTATTTGATGTAATTTGATTACAAAAATAAATGATTTAAAAACAGGAACAAGAAATTCCGATGCGCTAATATCGAAGTTGCATAAAATGCGTGTTTCGTTGAATCTGATTTCAATAAACCTGTTACGAAATGCTCTTGCATTTTCCTTTCAGTGAAAGTGTTCTTAATTCAAACATAGAATTTAGGCTGTTATGCCCACTTAGTTTGATAACCATCTCCGTTTTGGGACACCTATGGAGTGAAAATGGTGTCCTTGATACTCAATGTACTGAAAAGTTTGTTAGAAAAAAGCTAGTATTCATTATCTTTGTATTAACCAAATTTAAAACTTATAATATTTAAGATTCAATTAGGTATTTTCCGACTTCAAATATTGGGAACCTTACTAACATTATAAATACGAAAGTTTCGATGGATGGATGTTTGAGTTTATAGCCAAACGGATAAATGTATCTTGATGAAATTTGACATGGATGTAGAGGATAGTCTGGAAGAACACATAGGCTCACTTTTTTTTACTTAGTGGATGGAGCTGCGGGCGAAAATTTTGTTAAGCAAACTACTTTAAAATGCTTATGTTATTATGGTTAATTTATTATCGAACTACGGTGTTAACATAGCGTAAAATAATGACTTAGTTGTAATAATTTTTATGGTATGAAAGTAACACAGTTAAATGAAAGTTTATCTTATTTAAATATAACAACTGTTTGTACTTTTTAAAAAATTAAAGAGTTATTTTAACATGCCTAGTATAGGATATGTAACTAATATAGTATAGTAATAATAAATAATATATTATAGTTACATATCTATCTATACCAATATAATAAAGCGTAAACACACACTTTTTTGTTGCCTAAGATCTCAGCAATTACAGCATATTTTCGAATAACTCTTTTTTTAATAAAAAGCCCAACACTTACATCACGCTTTAGGCTATATAATTTCACGCTGTTAAACTTAGGGGTAAATATTTTGGATAAAAACCCTAAAGAGGGAAAGAGACCATAAGTTGGTGCCAACATCAAGAAAGCAAGGTTGCCATCACAAGTCATTTTGACATTTGCAATTGATAACACATGTGAACACTAAAATATAAAATTTTCATAATTTTATGCGGATGAAGTCGCACGGGAATAGCTAGTCCAATATAATATCTTAGACCATTTATGCTTAATTAAATAGTATACGACGAACGACGATTGCTAATTATTAGCACGCTGTGGACATGTGTAATTAGAAAGTATAAATATAGTATAGACATGATCACTTTTATAACATAGCTAGTTAAAGTTGCAGTAATACGGATATGATTTACATAATTTACTTTACTAATTTTAGTCAGCATAATACTAAAGTAAGGAAAGAAAAAACTACTAATTTTTAATAAAAGTGTGACGAATTAAGCCAACTTAGCTTATCTATAAACGGACTATAGCCGTGGTTTTCTACTAGACTTTTCATACACTTCTGAATTATAATAAAACTAGCTTTCGTCCGACTCAGCTCGCGTGAAATTAAAAAAAAAACAAAAGTGAGTAGCCTATGTGTTCTTACAGACTATCCTCTACATCTATACTAAATTTAATCGAGATCCGTACAGCCGTTTAGGCTACAAACTCTAACAAACATTCATCCATCTAAAATTTTGCATTTAGAAGTAAGATTATTTAGTACGGTATATATGTGTATTGGAATTTATTCCGGTGAATAACTCTATCTAGTTCATTACGCAATAACCAATCGATACCGTTTTACCTTATTTGATTTTTTTTACGTTTCGATACAGTTTTATAGCGATCTGATCGCTTCCGTTTGTATAACTCGATTAATTTTTAACAAGCACGTGATGGCTTACTTAACAAATTGTGGTTGCAAATATGTAACGGTTTATTCTTAGATTCTTATTAAGTGTTAATAAACAGTATGGTATAGTAAAGTACATATACAGCCTTACAAATAAACGCGGTAAACTGAATATAAGCGAATATTAGTACAAATTTTGTTTATATTCAGTTTATTCCTAAGTATAACTTTATACCGTGTTTATTTATAAGGCTGATTGACATACTAGGTTTACACACGACTTCGTTCGTGCCTATAAACTTAATAACCTTATGATTTCTTCCTGGCATTTGTGCTAGATTTACCTAAATCAGTTAAGGATCTTCAGATAAGGTTTCCTCCTACATAAACAAGGTGGCAACTGAGAATCAATTCATAGAACAAATAGGTGAGTGAAGTGACTGTTATTTATTGTTTACTTCAGGCAAACAGAAATAGAATAACAAAGATGATTTAAGCACGAAATATTCAGACACGATTTTTGTTTATAAAGTAATAATTTTGCATGCTAAGATTTTCGTAGAATAGATTTTAATTCGTGTCTCAGTTATCAAATACAATGGAAGTGAAATTGCTTTTAATCGATGATGCTTCACTTTCTATTTATCTTAGTAAAATTATTTTAGGGCACGATAATTCTAATGTCTTCAATACATAAATACTTTTTTTTAACTTAAAAAAACGAGACATACAGTATTAAAGTAACTTAACGAGATATTGAATAGAATTTTCTAGAATATATAGTATCTTATAAAAACTGAGTTCATTGATATGTAGAAATCAAAGTAAAAAGCGCATCACGAGCCGACTTTTTCCTAAACAGGATTGCGATCGTTTGCACTACGCTTAGCATTTGAATGCACCACTAAGCCATAACGGACTTAATAACTTAATTTACACTATTTATAAGCATCTAGTGAATTTTAAGTAAATCGGTTTTCATAAGTTTTATTTTTCTTTTAAACTTCCTAGTAATTTCGTCGTTTTAAAACAATAAACTAAAATTTTGTTAGCATTTTTTTTACGACTAATGACTAATTTATTCGTTTAATTTTTTTTTTTTAATTTTAGGAATCGTACTTACAAAAAACACTACTTTTAAAAGTAAACAAATAAAAAAAACTTACTGTTCATTCTTAATCTATTTATCGTCCTCACAATTATCATAACGGTCACAAAATAAAGGCGTGTACACACTGCAGCATCACTGTCACAGAACTGAATGAGTTTGACCTAACTTAGATCAGAATTGTAACGTGCGTCGCGGCGTGTTGCACGACTGAACAGTGCCGAGTGGTGACTGAACATCGGCCGCTGTGCAGCGACTGTTTACCAAGACTATGGAGGGTGGGTGCACGTACTGCTGGAATATTCGTAGCAACCATAGTTGTGGATTGTGACGACATAGTAACCCAAAATGTAACTGCTTATAACGAAAGTTAAATGTTTGTATTGTGTATTGCATGTGAGAATAAAATATTGTTTTATTTCCTTATATTAAACTCTATCTATGTAATTGCATAGATGTAATATGCAATTGTTTATCTGCAATTTAATTTTAAGTGTATATTAAAGAAACGTATTCGTCTAAAATATTCTCCACAAACGTACTGTTTACTGTCGTTTACTAATCTCATAAAAATTGAATGTATCCTATATGGTGGAGATGCAAAAACTAATTTACTAGCTTTCGCTCACTTCTCCGTCCACGTGGAATTAAATACAAACAAAAGTAAGTAGCCAAATACAAATAGAATTTGTATCCTTGCAGGATATTTTTTACATCTATGCCAAATTTTAACGAAATCCTTTAAGCAGTTTAGGCTAAAAACTCTAATATTTTCGCATTTATAATATTAGTAATAAGTAATCTATGTGATATAATAAAGTACAAAGATATTCGTGTATTGTGTTTTCACTCTCATTTTTATTCAAAGCGCCTACACCTATAGCTATGCAGCTATAATTTCTCTCGTCCTTCGGAATGCAAAACGCATGGAAAGTGTCTGGATATTTTTGGGCAATCGATAAAAATAGAAAGTTAATTAGAACTATGTATGGCTTTCTTTATTGTTACTTTTAATTATAAGACTTTATTGGTTTGTTATGACTATTACAATGCTATGATTATTGTTATTGTTATATAATCGCCAATGTTTTCATTATGTTATTTGAAAGTAGAGATATTTAAAAAATGATGAAGTTTGAAAACAAAAAAAATAAATAAAAAAAGGTGTAGCAAACACATCAAATTTATTATTTATCATGACAAAGTATTATTAACATAGGCAGATTTTAAGGGTTTTTTACGTGAAATCAATTTTTGCGTCTTCGATAACATTATCAATGATTTTCAAAATTCTCTGTTTCACTTCTTTGCCTTCATCGTTTACTTCCAAGTTAGTTTTTATTAACAGTAACGTTTTAGATAACGGGTTATATTTAGAAATGTAACAATTTCTACCGGCGATAGAGTTTTGTAATGTTATTTGTAGAAGTATCATCCAGTCGGATACAAATGATAGAAATTCATCTGTCAGTTTTTGTGTTAATTGGAATCTTATTAGTGTGTGTGTCCAGGGCTGTGACGTCAGAGCTGTCACTAATTTTGCATCTCCCTTGTAAATTACTGCGTGTTTGAAAATTGACGCTAAAGATTTCCATCCAACTGCTTTTTGGTCGTCGGAATCCTATTATTTATGGAATATATAAAGTTGACTAATTTATGAATAGTTTTCGCCCGCAACTCCGAATGAATTAAAAAAAAATTGCCTATGAGTTCTTCCAGACCATTCTCTACAGCTATGCCAAATTTCATCGAGATCCGCCCAGCAGTTTAGTCTATAAACTCTAACAAACATCCATCTAAACTTACGAATTTAAAATATTAAGCAAGAAGTAAGATTCGTTATTAAAGGTATTTGTGGCTGAGGGTAAAAACTTTTTTGTAATCTACTAGTCTTGGGATCAAATCTGGCTAAATTCCAATATGTTTTTCGAATGTCATATATACATTTAACCGACAACTTAAAGTAGGCTCCGAGCCTCTCTTTGGGAAGTACAGTAATGGAGTTGTCGATGTTACAGTAGTAATATATCAAACAAGTATTTTACTTACTCTACAGCAAAGGGTAAGTTGTATTCTAAACATGAGAGCTCGTAACGCGATACATTGCTGGTTGGCCGGGGGCGCAGTGCTCAGTTCAGTGGACAAGGCGAGCGGTGTACTCACAGAGTTTAGCATAGAACATACAAATTTTAACAGCAAAGAGGACCTTTCATTAGCACTGTCTCTACGTAGAGATTTTATAATTTGCTCGGTTTGAATTTGTAGCACGTATCTTGGCTATTATGAAATAAATAATAAAAATAATACTAAAAAATAAGAAGAAAAATTCAGACAACAGACCACGCAATTTTTGGTACATCATTTCTGAATACAATATTTTCTCCTAAATTATTGATTTGATAGTTACTGGCAACATCGATCTTCAGCTTTTTACAATTAAATCTCGGTGTAAACCAATTATCATTAATATACAGTTTTAAGTAAAAATTATGTCAAATTGAACAACAAACAATTACAATGAAGCATGCTTGACAGTCATTTAGAGTTTTCGTAACATTTTAACGTAACATGTCTTGGTTATAATACCAATAACTATTAAATATTTGATTTCGCAAATACATTTTATATGTTTTAGTAACATTTAAATTGTTACACTGACCTGGTAGTTGTTCTTAGTGAAGTAATGTACTACGTAAGAGAGCAGTTGTAAAGCGACGCAAGCCACGCGATCCTCGCAATGGTTAGACGAGGATAGTACAGCTGAGAGGAATCCTTCACGATTTGTGAATGTCAGTAGAACTGGATAAAGTAATGAAATACCAAGTAGAGACGTCCAAACAAAATACACCAAAAACGAAATATTCTCAAAAAAACAGTACACTAAAAAGAAATGAAATAATTCCTTGAAAATAGTAAACCTACCTTATTGTAGCTGTTATGTCTAGATTGTACAATTATTATTACTTTGATGTCGGTGTCAGCCAAGGTATGCAGTGATATTTATACGTAAGGCTTTCTACATTTTTACCATAACAATTGACAATTGAAAGTATAGTAACGTTGAAGTATTGAATTTATTTCAGTATTAACAGAAAATCTTTCCAAATGGATAGAAAATACTTAAATGGTATTGTAAAAATGAATTTATACTCCGTACCTCTATTGTCCTGACGGTTATGTGCCACGCTCAATAAAATCAGGCTTAATTTTAAACAAACGTATTCATAATGATATCTAACTTCGATTCTCTCTTTTGTATATTCGACGTTTTGTCTTGAAAATATCGCAGTGATTAGAGACGCGATTTTAATGCAAACATTCTGATCGACTTCGGAAGGATATAAGGATGTTGCTAAATCCATTAAATGACATATGTTTGTTTCTGAAAATTATTTAAATATTGTTATAATTATTGTGAAATACTGGCTTTCGCCCGCGACTCTGTCCGCGGGATTAAAAAAAAAACAAAAGTGAGCCTATGTGTGCTCCCAGACAATCCTCTACGTCGTTTAGGGTACAAACTCTAACAAACATCCATCCATCCACCCATCTAAACTTTCGCATTTATAATATTAGCAAGATTAGTTAATACAACCTTCAAGTTCATTAATAAAATAATATCATTTCATATTTTTTTAATCTGTTGAATACTTAATTAAGGTTTTAATGTTTCTATTAGTTTTTTTTTTATATATATCGTAAAGTATAAATGTTACATAATTATTATACCTATTTCACAGCTATAGTCTATCAAATATCTAGACAGGACATTAGGTAGTGTGAACCAAATGACAGTAGAAAATGCCTGCGTTGATTCCTCATCAGCGCCATCCAAGCACAAATTTAATGTTTCTATACAATTTGATACGATTTCTTCATTTTTACATTTAATAAGTATATCTAATAATAATTTCCATACTTCAAACTCTTTAATCATGTCCTCGGGTAAAGAGTCTTCTGTTTTCAACCATTGGGACAACTAGAATATTTTTAAATTATAGATGATTTTATAATGCATTTTGTATTTAGCATCGTATGGGCATGTTATGAGGAGGGATGAAAAGAATGTAACAAGAAAAATGTTAGATATGATTGTGGAGGTACACCGGTAGAGGTAGACATAGAAAGAGATGGATGGATTGCGTGAAAGGTGACATGGAGTGGTGACAGATGAAGGCTGATAGAGTTATTTTGGGGATGAAAAACCGGCGCCCCGACCCTACAGTAGTATAAGGTGAGGAAAATGATGCGATGCTTTTATAATGCGTTTATTTGTCGAATCATTTCTAGGTTGGTATACTCGTAAGATTTTTTTATTATTCCCGTAAAAGCTATAAACGCTCAGTTCTTACACTTTTAACTGAAGTGACGTACTGTTCAGTTAAAACTGCGCATGTAGGTAAAAACCTTAACAAGAGAGTTCGATTGACAGTTATAATTTTGCCCACACTAGTTTTGACTGATCAGTTATTTTCAGTCAAAAGTGTACGAACCTTGCATTAGTAAATTATTAAGTACACTTACTTAACATACTTTAGGTACAAACTACTTACAACTTCAATACGTATGTAGTCAGGAATTCTTGCAGAAGAGAATGACCATAGTAATATGGCAGGATTGTGAGTATAAAATATAGAAGGGTCAGGTTGTAACAATGAAATTAAACGCTGAGTCGCTTTTTCCAAATAAACTCTTTCTTCTAAAGATTTCAACGAAACATCTGATATTGAGGACATCTAAATAAAATAAACTTTTAATATTAACGTAATATTAAAAACGTATTCAAGTTAATGAATATATTTACAGCGAAAATCAGCCAAAGTGCTTTAATAATGTAAAATGGTGGTTTTATAGTTGCGGGTAGATGTAACACGTGCTTTACTAAATGCGGCAGTAACCGAGCTGTGGCTTCTTCGGGACTGAAAAGAGGACAAAAATCAGGTTTTTGTTAGAATCAAATGTAATCAATTGTTAATACTACATCTATGTATGCTAATAACTTAAGATTTTGTATGTATAACAAAAACTCAAAATCTTTTTTATTTTTTTTTTGTTTCGCATATGACAGTTGTAACCTATACTATTATAAAAAGGATAGATTTGTATTTTTGTATTGAAATAACTCAAAATCTACTGGACCTATATCAAACATTCTTTCACCTTTAAAAGGTACGTTATCAGTGAGTACTACAAGTTATTTTCTTAATTTTTTTTAAATTCACGCAGACAAAGTCGCAAGCAACCGCTAGTAATAATACTAGCGGTAAATATACTTTTTCTATAAAGAAAGCTATAGACTAAACTTTAAGCTACGACTGCTAGGGGAAAAAAGATTGTAAAATTAACAAAAAATGCAAAAAATACTTGTCAGATGATTGGCTATAAAAGTAGATATAAACAAATAAACTGTATGGACGAGTTTTTTCCAGCTGTTTTCCTAAATTTTGAGGATTTTCTATCCCGTATTGCAATTCCACGAGACCGTGCTGAAAATATATACAAATTGATTAAAAACCGAATTCAGAGTTTTAAGGATTACTTAAACCGCACATTAGCGTAGATCTTCTACTCGAGTTGTAGTAAAAATTCGTGCGGTAGTTTTATTTATGTAAACTACTGAAAGTTTTATTAAACCTACGTGAATGTCCTTAGCACACATTATCTTGTTTTCGTTATCTTTAACACACAGATATTTTGCAGCCAACGCTTTGAGCATCTCACCCAATACTAAAGTAGTTAGTTTACGTATTGTAGAGTCGTTTCTGAAATTTATTACAACTTAGGGCCTGTCCTACCACTGGCTGATAAGTCAGAAAGCTTGAAATGACGTCACAGTCAGTTAAAGAAACAAAATCGAATTACCGATACATATTTTACAAGTCGGATTGTTATCAGATAATTTGGTAGGACAGGCCCTAACGATGGTTATGTTTAGTAAAATCAGTAAAATAGGTGTTTGTATTTGCTGATGTTAAAACAATGGTAGAGTTTAATGCGACGATTTTTTTTTTAAAGTCAAGTGATGCATTGCTGGCCTTTACGGGAAGATCCACTTTTTAGGAAAAAAATATACCTTTTTATTTGAAATTCTGGCAGCATTTTTAAATATTCTTTAGCAAAGAGCATATCACAAAATTCTGGTAACTGTTCCGCGTTTGTGTCGTGTTGAAGAAAGTTGAGTAAAAATTTTAAGAACATGCTGTATTCCTCTGTAGTAATTTGGATTTCATTTTCCTTCAAACGTGTCATCCGACAATCGAAGTTTTTTTATGTATGAGAAAAACAAAATAAAAAAGTTATGATCAAAGACGTAAAAAGTTAGTAAAAAAAAAACTTTTATTTCTATTCAGAAATTATACATTTAGTTGATATTTTACCTTAATAAACACAGCCAATTCGTAAATCGTACTTTGTACACCAGTTTTCATCAATGAAACTGTATCTTTTAAAATATTAACTTCTTGTTCATCGACTATTATGCTTTCTATGAAGCCAGTTTTTTGTTTACTTTGTTGTACGAGATTTATTAACCTATTTATAATAAAAGAAAAAAAAAAGTGGTCATGGATTTTGAAATTATTTTCATCTATGTAATTCAGTTATAATATGATTAAAATCTTTGTAAAATTTTTAAATTCCGACCTGAGTATATCCAATCCTATTTGTGACGTCACAATGAGCAGGGTACCTGACAAACCTTTCCCTTCTACAAGCACTGAGTGCTTTAATGCACCTAAAACAAACTTGTCTTAATAATTGCCCTAACTTTATTTAGTTTATTAGTTTTTTTTATCCTAGGTCTTTGATCAATACTAGACATGTGTAAATTTCTACCATATTATGACTAAATCCTCTAAATAGTTTTTTAAAAATGTTTCAATTCAAGTTAAACAAAATGCAACCTGTCGATTTTAACTGTACTATTTTATTTATCGTTTTTTACATCGTAAATGGCAAACGGCCACCTGAATTCACCTAAATGACGAAGCGACCACTATCCATAGACGTGCGTAATTGCAGATGCGTTGCCAACATGATAACATCATTATAGTATACCTCAAAAGTAAATAAAACACTATACCTACCTATAAGCATCTCTAGCCACGGATTTAATATCTGTACTAACGCATTTGCTGTACATGCTCTTATTATCAAATCTGACGGTTGGTATGAAATTAAAGCTTGCAGCACTTTAGCGCTGGATAAAATGCTGCTCGGATTCTTACTAAAGTACTGAACTTGAGATTTTAAACAAGCCAGCAGCTGTTCTACGCTGTAAGCGCTTTGGTGGGACAACGGGGACGCGCTCTCATGAAAGCTGATACTGTTGGAAATTAGAATTATAATCTCTATTTTCTACAAAACGACTTTATTATACGTTATTTGTCTAATGGGATTAACATAATATAGTATATTGAGTTAGTCCTTGTAATTATCGAGTATCGAATTGCGTATACGGGCGTGAAATGTGAAATAGAATGAGACAATAAATAGGTATTAACTAACTAAATTAAATCCTAATGTTAAGTTTATGTATAGAATGTTATTATCGTACCCATTCAGGAGGTCGATAATGAATTGCAAGCAAACTTCAACAGCGGCGTTGGAGCCGACCGCTGCGTAGTGCGTGAGCGCGCGCAGCACCGCCGCTGTAGCGTGTGCCGCGTGTTCCTCCTCGAAGAAACGCTTCCCGCTCCACAACAGCCGCATACATGACAACACTGATCTAAGTATTTGAAATAAAATTGAAGACAGACAGTGTACAAAGTCAGTTTACTATACTTAAACCAGTTAAAAACATAAAAAGAATTTTAATTAATAGCGAAAATTTTCGTTCGAAAATACGTACCTGAATAAAGAAAAATCCAAATTAGATATAGCCTCACAGAGAAAAACTACGATGTCGTTATTTAAGAAATATTCTACTATATAGGCTTGTTCGTGAGATTTTATTTTATATCTATTAATACCCTCTATCAAATAGCCACAGGCTTTATTCTGAGACGCGGTATCTCGACAAGTTAACAATCTTTTAATATCAGATAAAGCATTTTGTCTACCACTGGGGCTGTATGTCCTGCTGTAATTGGTGTTTACTAAGCCGAACATTATTAATTTAATAAAACTACAAAGTAATCAATATTTTAAAATGCGCGGTAAATTTGAAGCTAACGGACTGATTTTGTTTTTAATCTAGTCCGGGCAAAGACGTATTTGAAATGTTGGCTAACAGACATTTTACTTTCGATTTATTTTTGGTTATGATAAAAGTATAAAATATATCTAATAATTTATAGCGAAAATAAAAGGAAAACTTTGTTTTTCCTTTTTACTTATTTTATTCTTAAAACAATGTTGTGGTAATACTACGGCTTTAAATTCAATCAAAGGGCAATACTTTTCTAACATGTCATTCTCATCTGGACTAGTGTTTTTAGTGACGACTGGAACTTTTATTTTTGGATAAATTTGCTATAAATTTGTGAAAGCAAATATCTTTCTTGTTATTTCATTTTTAATTCGATAGTAAAATAGGGGCGCAATGGTATGTTTACTACATTAGTTAATAGAACCTAAAATTTTTGTATCACACCCTGTTCTTTGCTTGACAATATTGAACGTCATTGTTGCAGTCGGTGATGGAGTTCCTGAAGGACTTACCGTCGTACGACGAACATAACTTTACCTTATTTAACACCGATTCTGGTATAAGAAATTGTTCTAAGAGACCCTCGATATATCTACCTACAAAGGATATCCCATCAGATCAAAGTAAGTATTTGCTTAGTACGTAATTAACATTTTAATTATAAAGTGTGAGTGACCAACACGAACGATACATATTTCATTATTGATTATTAATACTTATACTTGTGTAATGTTGCCTTCTAAATAGAAAGGATTTATCTTTATGCAACTATGAGATATTTAGTTCAGCTTTTACTAAATGTATCTATCCACTGCAATGTACCACTTTAGTTAAACATTATATTGTATACTGATTGACTATTGGGTGTAAGAAGAGTAAAGAAATACAATCTATGTTGTTTACACTATGTTTAATGTAATAATTCTTTTTACAGTTATAGTAACAGAAAAAACAAATATCCTATTAAGATATTTACATCAACAGTGGGAGAAAAAGGTAAAAATCATTTAATGTTTGTTGAATTCAATAAAAATGTGAATATAGATAAATCTTTCAGTATTTATAATTAAGTAACTTAACAATGGTTGTAACCTCAACCATTAATAGTTAATGCCTTAAGACATAAATTTTACTATGTTTTTTATATCTTGTGTAGTTATAACAGTATTTATGTAGTTATAACAAAAAACAATACAAACTATATCAAGGAAATAAATAAGCAAGCAGGTCATATGAAGTGATGCCTGGTTCACAGTTATATTACTGGTACAGTTGGATAGTAGTGGGCAATTTGACTGGTATTCCAGTGCCATAATGACCATGCCACTAACAACATTGAGACCATACCATCCATATCTTACCTGTGCTATTCTCCAAGTGTGAACTAGGCATTAAGTGTTAGTTAACCATAGACAGCAACATTCCTAATAGAAATATTTGGAGCAGATTGTAATTGTATTTTCTTGTGTTATTTCAGAACAATAATTCTCCAAAGAAACGTGACCAGGGTCACATAGAACAGAATGGTGATGAAGGCCGACCCCGCAAGAGGCCTTGCCTTAACTCCCCCCTCAACTGAAGCTGCTCTCAACTCTGTGCTACAGTTATGGACAGTGTGAAGTGTACATTTGTTTTGTATTAACCTATATATTTCACATTATACAGATCAAATTATATATTAATATTCAAAACATATTAGTTTTGTGTTTTTTGACAAACCAACTGCAGCAGTGTTGTGCCAGTTTCAAATACTATTTGCTTCGAAATACATAACCAGACTTGTGGTAGAATTTAGATTTTGTTGGTTGAAAATAGGTGACAAAACTTGTTTCATGTATGTACACTAAGCAAGCTATACTAACCACAATATTTTTAGTTTAACAATAAGCTTATAGTAATTAATTATATATCAATTTCATTCCAATGTGTTTTTCACGTTTTATTTAACTCAAAAGCTCATTATACATGTCATTTATGTATAAAATCTTTTATAAAAACTCACTGAACAAATTTTTTTTCTATGACCACAAACATAGTGTCCGTGGTAAAAATGTATTAGAAACCTATCTATTGCTTTTGGGATACACAGACAATATACATTGATTTGTTTTAAATAAAATTTACTGTAAATTAAATGTCATCTTGCAGATTTAAATAAAAAGAAATGCCAATTGGCAACTTTTTAACGTGATGTTTGGAATTCTTTTTTTACTTTTTAATCAAATTCTTTTAAGATACTGTGGTAAGCTCTTTTTTGTCATCTACAATAAGTTGTTTTAATTACAAACATTTAAATTGTTACTTTAGAAATATATGCTTCATTGACTTCACTCATACCCACTAATTTTCTGTTTCTGAGATGCAAGACATTTTCTTTACTCTTTGGTTAATTTTAGTAGTGTTTACATGTAAAAATAAAATTCTGTATTTTTTGTGAACTTTCAATTTCTGATTTTTCACCATAAAGGTAGGGCTTCATTTCTTTAATTTCTAGTTGGACTTTTTTTATCAACATTTTCTATTGTACTAGATGAAGAATTAAAGTAAGCCCTAATAGACATTCATTATGTAAATATTTTCATAAATGTGTGCTCCCAAAATGCTTTGATGTAATGTAGTTATAATTTCTATTATAAGATGAACAGTTTTATTATTCATGTATCGATGTTTAGTTGTATGAAGTAGCCAAACAGCACCAAAATCATCTAAATTACAAATGTTAATGCACATGTCAAATAGGTTTTTTATTAGTTTTAGATAAATTCAATTAATAGGTACAATAAACATGTTTGTTAGTATCTAATATTCAATTTGATGAATTTTAAAATTTGAGCTACAGTTTAGATGGAATTTGTTATAAATATTGTTTAAAAGGCCTATGCTTGTAAACACCTGCATGTAGCTATCATTTTCAAATGTGCTATTTCTTCATATTACAGTAGTGTATTCTTTTTTTTGTAACATTAATTTCTTACAATACATTTGTTTAGAAATGACATGGTCTATCATTTCAATCCACTTTTAAATAAAACTTCATAGCTAAGATTGAAAAATAACTTTATTCAAATTAAACTTATTTCACAATTTGCTATAATAGTAGCAACTTGAACATTTTGCATTTAAAATTGTTACCTAATGGAATAAGTTTTTTTTTTAATAAGTGAATATACTATGTGTCAAACATTGATTAATCACTAATTAGAATTGAGTAAGCTTTATAGAAGTCTATTTAAATTCCACTCAACGTTAAAATAAAATCAGAGACAAATAAAAAATTAAAGTCTAAATCAGACATTACTTAATAATAAATTTCCTTAAAAACGAAGTTGTAGTGTTTTCTATTTCTTATAACATTTATAAGAAGCTATTTATTGTCCCAAATCAAATGTTTAATCCTTAGCCGGCACTTCAATAACTCGAGGTTTGTCAATGATACGGGCTGTGCGGTTGCCCTTCTCAACAATTCCTATGATCCAAGCCTGGTAGCCCTCCTGCTTCTCAATGTCTTTGCAATAAGCAGCAGCTTGCTCACGTGGGAGACAGATCAGCAGTCCACCAGAAGTCTCAGGTGCATGTCCCTGCAGCAACTGGAACATATTACCACAAGCCTTTGCGACTGCTGCCATCTTAGCTATCACTGGCAAATTGTGAATCACAAATGACACTTCATTCTTTTGATGAGAAGCTAGATTTTGAGCATGTCCTAACAGACCAAAACCAGTAACATCTGTAGATCCATGAGCATTGTACTTATGCATAAGTCTGGCAGCAATGCGGTTGAGTCTACTCATAGAGTCCATAGCACGATGATACGCTTTTCTTACATCTTCTTCAGATACAACAAGTTTGATTCTATTCCAACGCTCAGGTTGGTCAAGCCACTGGTGAGCATTGACAGCCACCTGTGTACCAAGAGGCTTTGTTAGAACAAGAACATCACCCATAACAGCATTATCCGGCACGATGTATTCGTTTGGTTGACAGATAGTCGTGGCCACCCCTCCAATAGTGCACCAAGGGTTGATAACAGTCTGTCCCCCAGTGACAGAGGTCCCGGCTTCCAAGGCGGAGTCTTTGAAACCCCGCATTATAAGAGGTATTACGACATCACGTTCTTTCTCAGTCATTTTTGTAGAAACACCGAGTAGCATAAGCATATTGTCACACTCCGTAACACCCATAGCGTATAAGTCACTCAGAACATTCGCACAGGCAATTTTCCCCATCATGTATGGGTCGTCTACTAGGGGGTAAAAGAAGTCCGTCGTTTGTACCAAGCATAGCCCACCGTGTCTCAACGGCGTGACTGAACAATCCAAGCCGATGCCGATGCGCGGGATAGCCACATGCATAAACTGATCTTGTTCCTGTTGAGAATAATCTTGTTGCAATGATTCCACGAGTTTACCGAGTACATCTTGTGGTACCTTACAGCTTCTGCCTTTAAGATCAGCGAATCTTGTCAGTCGAAAACTGGCTTCTAAATCATGAGCTACCGGATCGAATGGCCGTCTAAGCGCCAAAGCGTTGGGGTTACCCGCCATTTCTAACTGAGCTGCAGCTAATGTATCTTGTGCTACACTAGACGAATACGACATATTACACGAAACCAAAACAATAATAAGCTTTCTAAGTGAGTAAATTCAATATAATGCCGAAACCCGACACGCCGCCAAGTGACGCTTGCAAAATGGCGTCTCTTTTACACAGAGTACGCCTTGGCCGAAATTCACCATGAATACTTGGTTGCCATTGGACAAAACAAGTTGTAAACAATACAGTAATTTTTATGATTGGTCGTTAGCAAAATTCTTTTTGAAATCGCCGTAGAAAACGCATTCAAAAACTAATATCCGTTCCATTACATTTTTTAAAATATATCGAAAGAGTTTAAAGCTTATTAAATATTTATTATTGTAAAATATTATTAAAATTGTATTTACATATTGATTGTCATAAAGTTCATTATATCAAAATTATATAATTGAAAAATAGGGTTATTGATATTTTTTGAAAGAGAAATTTGATTAAAACAATGTTCTTAGTTTTATTGTTTTTCAAATGCATTTGCATATTTGCACTCAAATTTCATTTCATTCGTTTTAAAGAAATCATAATAAAACTTAGTGTGAACATCAAATAAAATTTAAAGGAAAAAATTAGTTTTCTTAGCTTTTGGTCAATTTGTCTCTACCAATCAGATTATCCAAAAAACTTTTGTCATTGGCTAGCTTAGTTAATGGCTGCTTAAATATTGGTTATATTCCTTTCAAACATTCCATTCAATGAAACTATTTGTCAAATTAATGGTTACAAATTCCGCATCCTAAACTGTGCGTACGGCAGTAATTTCAATTCAAATTATATCAAATTTTAAGTTTATGGCAGTTGGTCATAGAATGTAAAATGCATTTTTAACATTTGAGTTTGACGGTGCTTAATTTTTCAATAACAATGAGCAAATACAATAAAATTGAGACAGAATCAGGATATCCTTGTTATATTGAGTTAGTATAAATAAACAACTTTCACTTTGCTAAATCAATTCCAAAATCAAAATCCACTGTATCTTATATTTTAATAATTTCTTTATTTCAGCAATACAAATAATCAACATTATTATGACCATCCTCATTTCCGTATTATTCTAAAATCTTTGGAAAAATATAACGAAATTAAATACAGCGCTTATCGAACAGCGTTTAAAATTTATGAATTACAAAAACATCTTAAAGGTAAAGTAACATTTTGTATCTATCTATATCTATTCTATTGAATTAAACTCCATATAAATTTCTTCTACCTTTTCTTCTACCTTTTATATTTTAATTTCTCTTATATTTGCCGTAAATAATGGTAATAATTTGCTAATTTGATACAATTACGATTTTCTTCCTCAGTGCCACCACTTCGAATTACTTCAGGAGTATTTGCTAGACATCAATTGAGTCTCTCGGAGAGCAGTCTGTCATTAGACCCAACGGAGTTGGAGGCTGTTCTTGCTGATATATATTTTGCAGCTGAAAAGGAAGGTGCCTTTTCCGGTGATATAGACCTGACTGTAGATTTGATGATCAATTTGTTACTAAATGTATATGATGAGTGAGTATTTAAAAAAGTAATAGTCTAAATTAATTAAATTTAATCCATATAGCAAAAAGTTAATAGATGCGGTAGGTTGAGGACCAAATTCAGTGGAAGGTATTACAAAAGCCTACATCCAAGAGTGAGCATATAAAGACTAAGAGAGATGTATGGAAGTGCAGTACACACTGTGCATATCCTACACAGGGATATGGGCAGTTTGATGAAAAATATTACAACTATTCATTGTAATTATTTTTACAAAATTCTAATATGAACTCTTCAAACCAATTTTGTGTGTGTGTGTGAGTGACACACTCATGCTTTTTTTATTATATCTTGATAGCCAGTAACATTTTTCTGTATATATATTCTTTGATGTTTTAGGCATAGAACAACACCAATAAGAGTGTTGGCAGTAAAAAGTCTACTAATACTGTTGAGTGAGGAGACTGTGTTAGAGAAATGGCAATCATTGGCCAACTGCTGTGCTGACCACAATGGTTGTGTGTCTCCGCGGAGACTGGCTGCATTACTGACCTACATTAATGCCCTGCCTAGATATTTAGGTATAAACTGTGATCAAATACAGACTGATGTAGATGCTTGCTTTGATAAGGTAAGATAATAATAAAAATCTAGGATTATGGAATACTAGCCGTTGCTCATGTCTTTGCCTGCATGAAATTACAAAATGATAAAAAGTATAGCCTATGTCACTCACTTTTTAGAGTGCTGGTATGCTGGGAATCAGTTCTCGAGCAGTAGCCGAGTGGGGTGTACAGAATAGTGCCAGCGCTAGATGGCTGCCGGTGCTGCAGAGGATCCTGATAAGAAGAGGAGCGTCTGTTTCTGCAGGAAGTTGCTCAGCTTGTAATCAGCTACTTGCACAGGTATACAGTTATTGTTATCTATACTAATGTAATAAATAAACACACTTTTTTCATGTATGTTGTCAGCAAATACAACACATTTTTAAATAAATATATCTTTAATGAAAACTTCTAGACTTGCTATATGCTGTATTTGTTCATGCTATTCAATTTATGGGGTGAATAAATTGTCATGCAAGAAAGGGACAAAACACTACAAGCAGCTAAGAAGCAAGATATCCATGGTAACAGTAATTGTTAGCCAATAGCAAAGGCCTTCAATGTCATTTAAACATTTGAATTTTGACATTTGCAAATGAAAGTTATCTATCTATATTTCGTGTTAATGGCGTTTCCTTAGAGATTTCCAAAATGAAAGTTTCAAGGAATTTAAAAATAAATAAAGATGCCATGATAAGCTATGTATTGTTGAATAATGTCTGTTTCAGGTATTACACTTCAAGTGTTCAAAGTGCCGCAGTGTATATTTCTGTGAGAACTGTTATTTATATGACAAAAATATAACACTGGTATCTGGACACAAGAGGACACATCTGGTGCATGAAATTATTGACGATGAGGTGAGACAATTGTTTTTTACGTCAAATAGCAAAAGAGCAATCGGTAATCTTGAACAAGGTTACCATTTACTTTTAACATAAATGAAAATTCTCTGCACTGTTTCTATTAGGTGAATTCACCTGAATGTCTAAGCTTTGTTAGCGGAATGAAGCGTTTCTTTTGTACATCGACAAGAAAGAAAAAAACATCGAAAAAAGAAGCTAAGAAGCAATCTGATAAACAGAAACAATCCGATAAGACAGTATCAGTTCGGAGGAAAGGGAAACCATCTATTTTCACATCTACAGTCGGTAAAGCTTCTGGCAATAATAATACTGATCCAACTTCAACATTACAAGATATTATTAATCAATTGGAAGGACGAAATATGTATGTTGTAAAGTTTACTATGATTTTTTTATAAATGTATCTAACGCTTTTATAACACAGTAGCTGTCGCCCGCGACTCCGTCTGCGTGGTATTAAAAAAAACACAAAAGCTAGTAGCTAGCCAAAGTGTTCTTCCAGGCTGTCCTCTACATCTACGCCAGATTTTATAAAGATCTGTTTAGCAGTTTAGACTAGCAAACATCCATCCATCTAAATTTTCGCTGTTATACTTATTCTGTTGGATGTCTATGGCTAAGGGACACAATCACAGAAGACAGGCGTGATGTGGAAGTAATTTCGCGTTTCGTCTGATAAGTTTGCAAGGGGAGGTCTAATTTGCCCTTGTTTGTCTTTGTTCCATTCCCACATTATAAGGAATGTATCTGAAAAAGTGTATTTGGCAGTGAATGGGCCAATAGGGGAAATATCTATCTTTCTGTGCGTCCATTCTATTGATTAAATGTAGGTAACGCATCTACTAATGCATGAGTCTGTGGGCAGCGCTTACTCACTATTAGGGTACAATTAACTAACTCAATTTTTTAGTTTAGTGATATTTTTAATCTTTATTATTATTGCAGAGCATTGAAAGAGTTGTTGCAAAATACTAAGAATCCTGAAGATGATTTAAAAGAAAAAGTAGACTCGCACTATTCTATGATATCAGCACAAATAGACAGACTGAAAGCCTTAAAGGTATGTAAAATAAGACGGAAACTATTTGTTTATATTGTTTTATTGAATAAACAACAATTTTAAGTGACCAAATTTTTACACACACATTATTAGCAATTAATCATCCATCTGTAGAAATAAATGTTAACCTAATTCTTACATTTCATAGTCAATATTGGCCTGCTCTTTTTTCCTTTTTTTTTAAAGGAATTTAAATCTATCGTTTATTCCCATTACTTAATATTTTCAGGAAAACTTAACCCAAGCTGATATACAAGAGGGAAAGACTGATAAAGCTGGTCGACCTCAAGCATTTGATCTCTTCAGTCCGATACCGGTAGTGGATGAGAAGCAGTCCAGGATACCTGAGAATGCTCAGCCTAGAGTACTAAGTATGGACTCTGGGAACTTCTCTGTGGTGTCCAAGGGTGATGCCCCGAGGATGACCATGTCAGGAGATGAACTGAAACCGGTGCTGGTGCATGCTACTTCGGATAGTATTTCTGCTGTCTCTGTTGGTGATGTCAGTAATTGGTATAATGGTAAGTATATAGAACTTTTTTATGTATATTGTTGGTTTTATTTGTGGAATTCTGGTCTTTTGTAGCAGACGTATTTGCTATAAAAGGTAGTCTATAAAAATAGTATAAAGAGGAAATATTTGTAATCTTAATTTTGAAATGCATTTCAAAATTTTTTACACCATTAAACACTGAGTATACACTGATAATGTTGCTTGTTTTCTATTCTTCTTTATTTTCATGCGGACGAAGTTGCGGGCAACAGCTAGTGTAGTATAAGTCTGCAAAGCTATTTAACATCAGAGGCTAATAGGGGAAGGTTTCTAAACATAAACGTTTTGACTACCAGACT